AAAAAAGAAAAAAAAAGCAACGCTATGCAACGGGCCATGCTTGCCATGTTCTGGAACCTACTAAGGCACCTGCGTGGGAAACGCCACCTATCATCTCATTCATTTTATGGCCGGGTTCGCTGAATTCCAAAGAACGAACGTGTGTCCTAAATACGAGACGGTCATCCACAGCCTAGGAGGCGCGAGTGGGCCAATCTGGGAGCTCGATAATTGAGAGCACGCGCCCGTGTTTTCCTAGAGATCTCACAGGAAGTTACTGTCCTCCGTGTCGCGCATTAACACACGAGATTCGTTATGTGTGCGACGGCAGCCACCTGCTTGCTTCTATTTTCAAAGACAGGCTTCCGTCCTGGGATTCTCTCTGGTCCCCCTTCAGCCAAGAAGGGGGCTTGGAAATGCCCGGCTCGCAAGTGTTTCCTTGCCAAACAGGCGCATGGGACCTCCACGCACCTCCGTACAGGTGACATCATGGCTCATCCGCTATCAGACGAGCGTGGGCCATTTCCCGCCAATCCAGGAGCAGGTTGTATCCACCAATCAAGTCATAAGGACCCAAAAAGGTAGCCAAGTTTCCTCCGAGGTGTGCGTGACACCTCGCACGACGGGTAGAACAGGGGACATCACCAAATGGTATCTGCTAGCGCACACACCTCCCTCTGTATACACTGGAGAGACAACTACTCGTATCTCAAACCACGAGCCTCTACGTAAAGACCCTTAAAAATAGGACAAATGCCCCGGCCGGTTTGGCTCAGCGGATAGAGCATCGGCCTGCGGACTGAAGGGCCCCAGGTTCGATTCCGGTCAAGGGCACATGCCTGGGTTGCGGGCTCGATCCCCAGTAGCGGGTGTGCAGGAGGCAGCCGATCCATGATTCTCTCTCGTCATTGATTTTCTATCTCTCTCTCTCTCCCTTCCTCTCTGAAATCAATAAATATATTTTTAAAAAATAGAATGACCACACGTGGAATAGCACGGGGCGTTATTCGTAGAACTACGGCTATTAAACACACTTGTACACACTGCGTGTGGGTGAGAGTCTTGACTGCATTCCAGGGGGGGCGCTGTTCACCCACAGGGACACCCCCCTTTCTGTCATGGTTCAGGCGGAGAAACAGCCTTCCTCTATCTACATGCTCTGTGCAGCTTCGGCACCATTAGCTGGACGGGTTGGATAGAAACCGGGCGGACGGCTCTGGGGCCCAGCCGTGAAGGAGTTAAGAGCGACGCCTGCCAGGGTTTCCGAGGGCCTCACAACAAAACCCAGCCCAGCGCTGCCCTCGCAGGGGATGGGGGCGCGGGGGTTG